ACACACTAATCTCTCTTCATAGTGCAGCTCTCTGTTCTTGCCCTGAAGTTGCACCTTTTGTTATCACAAAGAGAAGTTGTTTGTCTCTCAGCCGGGCCACGAGGTTAAACTTAAACACCAGCCGACAAACATGTTTTTTGCTGACCTGCTGTGCATAAAATGATGTCGGCCTGCACATCAGGATGTCCCTGTCGGAGGTGCACTCGACTGAAACCGTTCTTGTGCGCGTCCCTCCTCAGGATAAGCTGTTTCCTCAGGCCATCGACTACCTGCAGAGGGCCTTCAGCGTGAGGCGAAGGGTTGGACCTGTGCTGCTCAGCAGGTGTGTTTCCATCTCCAATAATCCAATAATGTGACTTTCCACTGGTAAAAACACCCGACTTCAAGACGAGAAAGCCTCAATCTGAATGCATTTGGAAGTTAAATATGTTACAAACAGACACTAAATTAGTTGTCAACTATTTCTACGATCAGTTAGTCAGTTTGTGTTTTTGTTTTTTAAAAATAAAAAAGGAAAGAAAAGAAAAGAAAGCTAAAAATCTCTGATTCCAGCTTCTTAAATGTAAATATAATGTGTATATTTTCTGGTTTGTTTCCTCCAAGACAGGAAACTGAACATCTTTGATTTGTGGACGGATTAATCGACAGTTAAAACACTTCTCAGTTGCAGGTCTAATGCAGCGTCTGAACAATTTTTTTAGGTCTTCAGCATCAGTAAAAGCAGCACAGTGCAGAGATACTGAAAGTTTACTTTGATACAACAGCATCAGAATTATGCTCAACAATGCAGAGTATGCGTATTATATGCATATTATTGTATTTTGATTACTGATGTTTTTAACGTTCATTTCGCTTCAGTCATGGAGCTGATGAAGGCAGTTTAGCTTTAACTGTATTATACTGCTGTATAATGTAGTTAAAGTCGTTTCCCAGCTTCATTACTGGTCTGTAGCTTAATCTGTAATAATGCATCATATGATTCCACATGCCTCTCATCGAGCATTTAATTAAATTCAATTCACTTCAGTTTTATTTATATAGCATCAATTCACAACAGATGTCACGTCACAGCTCTCAACAGAGGAAGTTTAGTCTCTCAGTGTGGGCCTTTTGTCTTTGCTGCTGGGAGGCTTTAATTTCCTCTTGTTTAGGTGCAAGATGTTGAAATGTTTATGGAAACAGCTAAACCAGCGTATGTGTCATGTTAAGTTAATTTAACGTCCGTCTCTGTCGCCTCAGACAATGTGCCACCAACCAGTACATGAGGAAGCGAGATGACCCTCATCGCTACTGCCAGGACGCCTGTGCAGACGTCACCCGGTGTGGCCCCGTCGTCGTACCACAGCACCACCTGCAGGTCAGGAAGGGCCACAAGACAAAGAGTCTATACACCTACGCTCGCCGCTCTGTTGAGTTAGAGCTAAAATGCTAATGAGCACATATGCATGAAAACTTAATTTAGCACCTTTAGCTGATTGCCAATTAGCATGAAAGTGTTGGACAAAGCTGTTCAAGAGCCAGATGTTTCCCTCAGGAGTAGCTGGAGACAAAAAAAAACAGAGCAAGTGTTAGATTTTTATCAGGTGATTTCTGTTTCTGGACCCGTACAGAAACAGATTAGCCTCACCAGATGAAACAACAGTCCATTCTCTTTATCCAATACCTGTAAGTAAATGCAGCATCTACAACTGCTGCTAACAACCACAGACTGCATATAAAAGATGGATGTAGTCACTGTGACGTCTTTGATTGGTTTGTTGACTGCTGTTTAGAAGCCCTGAGTTTGTCTGGTTGGCTGTTGAAACCAAAAGTAAGCGAGGGTTGGATCTGTCTGAGTAGCCGAGGACGCTGTGCACACCGATACAGCAGCGACTTAAACATGTCCTGCTTTGTTGCCTATTTCACTCTAAACGGGACCAAAATTGACAAAATGAGCACAAAGCTGGATTAAAGGAGGCATGAAACTAGTGACTGAGATCATAAACTCATTAGGAAAGTGTTTACTGAGGCAGCAAGTCGAGGGAGAAGTCGGTTCATTTTTTCTTAGACTTCTGTACATTTTTGCAACCAGAGGAGTCGCCCCCTGCTGGCTGTTAGACAGAATGCAGGTTTAAGACGCCTCTATGTTGACTTCATGTTGGATTCCACTTTTCACACACAGTCTACCCAATAAAGCATTAGCATTATAGCTAATGTGCCACCTGGAGTTCCTGAGTGGTAAATACAGCACAGAAGACACAACACTATAATGAGAATTAACTGCCTGAAAACAGTCATTTCCGGTGGAAAAACCCTCATTGTACAAACATTATCTTGTTGAACTTGCAGCTAATTTACCATTGTTGAGGGTTCGACATCTTTCACCGGGCATCACCAGCCAACTGTTTATTAGCTGCTTAGCCTCCCGAGTCACAGCTGCCTTTACAGCGGGGGGAGGACGGAGCGGAGTGGAAGGTTGTAAAGGATAAAAGAAGGGTATTGTCAGGATGTTAATCAGATTATGGTTATTGTGGACGCTGGGCAGGAGCTAATAATAGAGCTGTAGCCTCTCCTGCTGTGGGCTCTCATTACTGAGGCTTAAAAACAGAGCGACAACGATTAATCACTTAGACTCATTTTTAAAAAGCATAAACATTTCTCTCATTCCAGTTCCTTCAATGTGAATATTTTCTGATTTCTTTATGAAAGCAAACTGAAGATTTTTGGGTTGTAGATAAAAATAAAAGATCAGCGGGCGTCAATTTGGGCTTTGATAAACACTCAACATTTAATTTTTTAACCATTTTCTGACATTTTATCGACCAAGCAACTCGTCAGTTAATCGAGAAAATGATCTATAGATTAATTGCCAATAAAAATTACTAATACTTTGAACCCTAATTGAAAATCTGAAGCTAAATCTGTGACTAATTTGTTAGAACGTGATAATATTTGTCCAGATGAGTTTTAGCTTTAGGAACTAAAGTAGTTTTGGTCACTTGGATGTAAACAATCAAAACTAGATCTAAACAATAATGTCAGCAGTGTGACGTATCAATAGTTTCTGTATCAGGTTATTTCATTTCATTATCTTGTGTTATATCACTTATTACCTTTAGTATAGTTGCCAACATTACTTCCTAGTGTTTGATTCCAGCCCTATTTGAGTTTACTTATTATATTTCAGTATGGTGTCATACTTACATCTCGTTGCTTTTCTGCTTTTTCGGCACTGCGCTTCTTATGTCACTTATTTTCTTCTGAGCAATATCTGAACACAAGAGTTTCCTTTAAAGTTTAATCTCATCTTAGGTTTTCGTCCCTTTTCGTTCACTCTTGATTTGTGTATTTCTCTCCCAGCAATGCAAGGTGTGCAGCGAGTCCGGGAAGTCTTGCGGCCCCACGGGGCCTCCGGACGGCCCCGGAGTGGAGGGCTCCGACTTCGTGCTCTACGTCAGCGGCATCACCACGGAGCGCTGTGGGCAGGAGAACATCGTGGCCTACGCTGCCTACTGCCAGCTGGAGGCAGAGCTGGACAGGTGGGAGGACAAAGAAACTACACCTACATGTGCTGCCGGAGTAAAGAAAGACGCCTAAAAACTGAGACAACTTTTAAACCAGCAAACTAGTCAGAATGTCAAGATTAGGATGCTTAAATTTGGCTTTAAAGTTAGTGTAAAAATGCACAAAACCGCCCGAGCTAATGTGAGTTTGTGTTTCAGACCCATAGCGGGCTACGCCAACCTGTGTCCTGCCATGATCTCCTCCCAGCCTCAGGAGTTTGAAGGGATGCTCTCCACTGTCAAACATGAGATCATCCACGCTCTGGTCAGTACAGCACCACGCTCCCTCCGGTCTTCTGTCAAAATGTGCTTCTTGTAAAGAAAGTTTCCGACCACACTGCTTGACTGATAAACCAACACCGAGCCTTTGCAGCTTCACGAGCCTTTGCAGCTTCTACACTATATTTTATGCAACGCTTAAAGCAGATTGCCTTAAATCGTGTGCATGACTTATGTTTAGTTGGAAATTATTGCGACGTAATTAAGAAATTTACCCAAATACTGCATTATAGCTATAACACAGAACTCACAGGGGTCATTTTCTGAGATATTTAAAGTACATTTTGTTGAAAATGTTCAACTTTTATTTAAGTGTTTTATACCAGGTGTGATCAGGCTTTAACCGGGTTCATGTGTGTGGTGGGTTTTCGTGGCTGAAGTTGGACCTGAGTTCTGTTTCTTCTCGGTCCATCAGGGGTTTTCAGCCGGTCTGTTCGCCTTCTACCACGATGACGAAGGCAAACCTCTGACTCCTCGCTTCGCCAGCGGCCTGCCCGCCTTCAACGAGAGGTGAGCAAAGTCTTCCTAGACTAGATGGGGGGTCCCAGGCGTTTGCTTTGCGCGTCCGTGATTCTTTACACCAACAGGAACCTTTAAAAAGAAGAGAGAGGGAAGAACATCTAGTTTCCTCTTATTGGAATCATCTGAAGTTTCATCTATACTGTGTGACTCCGCTCGTCCTGTGTGGTGAAGATTTTACATGACGTGATGCTCGTCAGAGTTGCATTCAGACAGGAGTCAAGAAATTAAAAGCTTGACTACCTGCAGACTCAGTGGTTTCAGTCAGTGAAAGTTTCAAACTTTGCTTTTACACGAAGGCACCACGTTGTTGCAGTTTATATCAGAGTTTAAATCTGGTTTGTGTCGGAGGACGCTACGAGGTCCGAGGTAGTGTCCAAAGAAAGTTTCTAATCCTGCAGATAAATAAGAAACTCGGTGTTTAATGGAAGGATGAGAGTCTACAAATAGAAAGAAATTGTTGGCAGCACATTTGAGCACATCATCAGCATTTTATGCATTTTATATGATCGAATCATTAAAACCCATCAGTGTTTGTCACAAAAAGCAAATCGTGCATTTTTAAAGTCAATAATTTGCTTTTTCAGATCTTTGTTGAGCTCCTCCCACTGTGGTGTTTGTAACGGAGTCTAATGAGTGGATCAAATGGTCTCTGTTTGATTTGGCTCAGAGGAGTCAGCAGCTGTATTGATTGGAATCACATATGAAAAGTTAAGAGGTCACAAAGAAAATGTGATTAGCACGGCTTTGTACGTCACCAAAACTGGTCATTCAGGTTGCTGTATGTATGTTTTTGACCCAGCAGGTTTTGTCATATTTCCAGAAGACCTTTAATAACACTTTCTTCACTGATGTTTTAAAGGAGTAGTTCAGCATTTTTGGTGAATTTTGCTAAATGTGAAGCAAGAGTCAACAACTTAGCTTCGTGTTAGGACTTAAAATGGGGAACCTGCTCTAACTCGTGATGCTAAACCTGTGCTTCAGCCTGGGTCTGTACCAGTGGAGCGAGGCGGTGATCCGGAGGGTCAGCCGGCTGTGGGACATCAGGGGAGGAGTGATGGTCCGACACCAAGTCCACGTCCTCGTCACTCCTCGAGTCGTGGTAAGAAGCAGCTTGTGTGGGTCACAGTTCCTCCTTATATCAGCAACAGCATGTTTACATCAGTTAATCAAATCAGTTTCCTGCCACTTATCTGAGTCCAGACAGTCACGGTCTCTGATGTCCAATGAGTGTCTTTGCAGTCGTTTTGCATCTTTGGTTTTTGTGTTTTTCTTTGTAGTCGTTTTGTGTCTCTTTGTAGGCGTTTTGTGTCTCTTTGTGCTGGTTTGTGTCTCTTTGTAGTTGTTTTGTATCTCTTTGTGGTCATTTTGTGTCTCTTTGTGCTCGTTTGTGTCTCTTTGTAGTCATTTTGTGTCTCTTTGTGGTCATTTTGTGTCTCTTTGTAGTCGTTGCGTGTCTTTTTGTGGTCATTTTGTATCACTTTGTGGTCGTTTTGTAGCACTTTGTAGTCATTGTGTATCTCTTTGCATTCATTTTGTGTCTCTTTGTAGTTGTTTTGTGTCTCTTTGTAGTCATTTTGTGTCTCTTTGTAGTTGTTTTTCATGTCTGCTTTTGTTGTGTCTCTCTTTGGGTCACATTGTCTCTCTTTGTGATTGTCTTGTGTCTCTTTGTGGTCATTTTAACAGTTGTATCGTGGATGTCTTGTGAATGTTTTGTAGCCATTTTGTGTTTGTCATTTGTTGGCTGTTTTCTGTGTGTCTTTTTGTAATCGTTTTGTGTCTTTGTGTAGTTGCTTTTAAACTGTTTTTATTGTGTTTTTTGTAGCTGCTTTGTGTCTCTTTGCTATTGTTTTGTGTCTTTAGTCATTCTGTCTCCTTGTCGTTGTTTCGTGTCTCTTTATAGTCCAGTTAAACACTTTTTCTGTTCATTTTGTGGTTGTTTTGTGCCTCCTTGTGGTCACTTTGCATCTGTTTGGGGTTGTGTTGCCTGTCGCTGTGTTCTTCTTTTACCTGAGCTCATATCACGTTACTTAACTGTACTACAAGGATTTACTGTATATTTACTGTGTACTGCTGGGAAGTGATATTAATGTTCGATTAGAGGAATCTATATTTTACTTGTGACTAGGATCAATGTCAGGAAGTGACTGAGCTCGTGTGTGTTGTTGTGTTTGACTGCAGGAGGAGGCCAGGAGACATTTTAACTGCCCCATCTTGGAGGGGATGGAGCTGGAGAACCAGGGAGGGACTGGAACTGAGCTGAACCACTGGGAGAAGAGACTGCTGGAGGTCACCACCGGCTCTGAGTTCTTTGGTAGTGAAGAGTTCAGCTTTCTCCTCTGTGTTAACTTCTTTTTTTTTCTAATGTAATCCCTCAGAACGAGGCGATGACGGGCTCCCACACCCAGAACCGGGTGTTCTCCAGGCTGACGCTGGCCATCATGGAGGACAGCGGCTGGTACCGGGCCAACTACAGCCTGGCCCAGAGGCTGGACTGGGGCCGCGGCCTCGGCTGCGACTTCGTCATGAAGAGCTGCAAGTTCTGGATGGACAGACAGCGGCAGAGGTCGGAACAACACTGATGTGCAGTTTTTTAATGCTCGTGATCATAAAATAACGTCTGCTGTTGTTTTAAAATGTGTAAATGTGGTTCCAACCATAAAACGTAAGTAAAGGACATCCTCTCAGATACTGTTTTGAGGTACTTTGTTTGAACATCGTCACTCTTCAGGCAAAAACAAAAGTAAAACGCTACTTATTTATAGGTTTTAGCTTCTCAGATATCAGGAGCTGTTGCTTGTACTTGTCATGTACAGAAGAGAACTTGAGTTTCTTTAGATTTCAGATGTTAGTCGGACAAAACAAATTCTGCGCAATTTACAAAAAACACCTCTTACAACAGAAAAACAATATTCAGATTCATCGATGATAAAAACAAGTTAGTTGCAGATTAATCGTCACACTAACGATGGTGCTAAAGTTCTAAACAGCACAAAAACAGTGTAGATTGTTTTTTTTTTTTAAACTTGTGTGCATGAGATTAAACATTTTATGACCTTAGAGGCTATAAAATGTAAAGACTATTTTCACTCTCGTATTTTATGTGTGCACCTTTTCATTTAAGTTGGATTTTAAATAACTTACTTTGTTGTGTGTATTTAAACTGTGGTGCTGTCGTTTTTATTTATTTATTGTACATATTTAACAGCGCCATCTGAAAACTCTGTGTTTTGAATAGCATCAGAATATGCATTTCTTGAAAGCACCGAGCCTTAAAACTAAAACACCAGAAGGTATTTTAAGATGGTGCTACCTCACAACAGTGTTAAATGTTGAGTCAGTATTTGCTGCACAACATTTTAAGTCCAATAAACAAAATGCTTTGAGGGAGCTTCTTGCACGATTTTCCAGAAGTTAAGACTCACTCTTTGCAGGTTTTACAGCTTCTTATCAAATAAATAACTTTATTATTACCCTTTTTGCAGCGTTAATGAGCTTAGAAATGATTTAGTCTAAATGTATTTTCCAATAACTGCACAGTGAACAGTGTCAACAGGCAGCAAGAAGGTTCCCAAAGGGGTCTTTTCTTTTTTAGCTGCATTCATGCATCATTTGTTCTAATAAATTAGCTTGCCGTCTTCAGAATAAAACCAATAATCCTTGACTTAATAACCACGACCTCAGCTCACCGGTGATGTTTGTGTTTGCAGGCGACACGCTGTGACGCCGTACTGCGACACAGTTCGAGCGTCTCCTCTGCAGCTGACCTGCAGGCAGGACCAGCTGGCTGTGGCCGTCTGCAACCTGCAGAAATACCCGCAGGAGCTGCCGCTGGAGTACCAGGTACACGAGAGAGACCGGCAGGGAGGTGGTCGTAATAAACAACCGGCAGAGCGGAGGTTTAGCTGGGACGGTTCCAGGCGTCCTGATGGTCTCCTTTAGGTCATTTCATCTCAGATCTTTAGTTTCTGCTCGACCATCTCTGATTCACCTGAATTTCTCATGAAGATAAAAGGCTGAACTTTTCACTGTTGTTTCTCATCATACGATTGGTCTGAAAATTAAACTCTGATTAGATTTTTTTTCCTAATTATATGTGCAGAACCATTTTGAAACTATAGAGCTGCTGTGGATTAGGCTAACCACCATCGTGCGACTGAGAATTTCATATTATAATGCATTAAATATATTTAATAGTTCCTGAAATGTCGTCGTTCAAACAGCCTCAAAATTCAACGTGTGAGAAAACGAGCTGAAAGTGGGTCGACGGGTGGAAAGCATTTGATACGTCGGTGTAAAATTTCACCGATACCGTTTTAAATATTCATATTTTACGCTCAAATATGAGATAAATCAGAAATAGTTGAGCAGAATTTGTTGTTTTGAGATAGAATGACTCTTTCACAACTCAAAAAGATTGTTTTTTGATTTTTTTTTGTTGTTATTGAGCCTCAAAGATGGAGCTTTTTAACATTGGCTTAAATTTTTTCCTCATATTTCAACTCACCAGAGCATCAGAGCTTCTTTGATCCATTCGTCTGATGTTGCAGATTCTGAATTGACGACACGATGAGAAATATCAGTGAAAATGTCAGGTTTTTATCTTAAATTGTTCCACAGATATTGCCGTTAAAACTTCAAATATCCACAGTTAATGATAAAAAAAAAGCAAATCAGAGACAGTCAAGCAGAAGGAAACCGAGGATTTGAGATGAAATTTGAGCTTTGGATGGATTCTGACATGCACACTAACTTACAGTAACACCAAGTTTGCTGCATCCAGTGTAACCAATCTGTAAAAACGACTCATTAAATAGGAGCCTGACCCCCTTCGTCTGTGCTGTTGGATGCAAATAATTAGTGTAATTATTTTTCTGAAGCTAGCGACTGAAATTGAAAGTGATTTTTTCCTCTTCAGTAGCCCTCTGTGCAGTCGGCTTCATATTGTGTAGCTGTATGTGACACTATGAGCTGCTCAGTAAGTGTTTTTTTTTACGTGTCAGTACTTTGAGCGGATCCCCGACGTCGCTGCGGATCAGCTGTCGTTCTTCGGCGGCGCCGTGGAGATCGCCGACTTCTGTCCCTTCAGCCAGGAGTTCAGCTGGCACCTCAGCGGAGAATACCAGAGGAACTCCTACTGCAGGGTGTCCGAGAACCAGCCAGGTAGCGCTCACTGCATGAACGCCTCTCTTGTTGTCAACACAACCAGTGAACAGACCACAACAACAGTCCTGCTCAGCTGCATCACCTTGGTGTTCATGTGAAGCCCGCATGTCCAGACTGTCTCGCCTCAGAGACTTTTATTTGTTGCACTTGTACACAAATACTATGAAAAATGAACAAACAGCCTGAGGAAGAAGCTGCAGCGTCATCATCACGGGTATGTTTTGCTTCCAGACTGGTGGAGGAACTACGGAGCAGAGCAGTACGGACCAGAATCCGTGTGTCTGTACCAGAAGTCGGCCTTCGTGATGGAGCAGTGCACCCGCAAGATGACCTACCCCGACTGGGGCTCCGGATGCTACAAGGTGACGTCACTTCAGCAGCTTTATGTGTGTTGTCGCACGATTTGAGATGTGATGATACTTAACGAGCTCAAAACATTTCACTTCTTCAACATTTATCCACATTTAGAGCTCGATGCGAGGCCTAAAACGAACACCTCAGCTTCAGCATCTATGCTAACAACAGCTAGCATCCCAACAGAAAAGCAGTTCAGCGACACTGGAACATGACATTTACAGAAAAATAAGTTTTTAAAGATGTTTGCAGATTCAGCTGTATTTAAGATCTGCTTGGCAGAGAGATTTCTGAAATGACAAGTTGAGTTTTCTCCATAATATTCCTCGTTAGGCAGTAACAACACACACGTCTGGTGGATGTTTCTACAGATAACATGCTCCTAGTTTGCATGCTAAGCTAACAGGCTACTGACTTATTTAATAGGTGTTTATATTTACTGTACAGACATCGGAGTCTCTCAAAACCTACGGCTACTGCTACTACTAGTCTTATTCCTCCAACTATTGCAATTCCTAGTCCTACTACTACTCCTGCCACTACTACTCCTACAACTCTTATTCCTCCTACTACTCCTAGTCCTAGTCCTCCTCCTCCTCCTACTACTACTACTACTTCTGTTCCTCCTACTATTACTACTCCTCGTCCTCCTACTCCTCCTCCTCTTCCTACTACTACTACTCCTAGTCCTCCTCCTACTACTACTATTCCTGGACCTACTCCTCCTCTTCCTCCTCCTCTTCCTCCTCCTACTCCTCTTCTTCCTCCTCTTCCTCCTCCTCCTCGTCCTATGACTACTCCTCCTACTACTACTCCTAGTCCTCCTCCTCCTACTACTATTCCTGGACCTACTCCTCCTCCTCCTCCTCCTCTTCCTCCTCCTACTCCTCTTCTTCCTCCTCTTCCTCCTCCTCTTCCTCCTCCTCTTCCTCCTCCTCCTCCTCCTCCTCCTCCTCCTCTTCCTCCTCCTCCTCCTCCTCCTCCTCCTCCTCCTCCTCCCACTACACCTACTACACGTCTTTCCTCCCCGTGCAGGTGTCGTGTTCGGCCCAGGGCCTGACGGTGTTCGTCCAGGATCGGTCCTTCCAGTGCGGCCGTAAAGGTCAGCTGCTGAGCGTCAGCGTCCGAGTCAACGACTGGGTTTACAACGGCGTCCTGATCTGCCCCGCCTGCACCGACTTCTGCGACGACTGCCCCCTGCCCCACCAGCTGCCCCCCATCAACACCTCCAGGAGCAACCCCATCGGTCAGTGACGCTCCTCCTCAGCCACGTTTCAGTAGCCGTAGGATAGAGTAGGATAGAGGCTGTGCAGGTGAATTAGTTCATCATAAATCATCAGGAAGATAAATGCAATCAAATCTAGAGAATCAGCTGTTAATTTATAATCAGCTAAGTACAAGGGTAGCAAATACAGAAGCTGAAAAAAAAATCTAAAAATACAGACAGAATGAAGTTTTAAAAATACTAAAAACAAAGAATAACACTTTATTTTACTACGACTTCACTAAAAAGAAACGATGCACTAAAAAATGTCTAAAGAGGGAATAAGAGTAAAAACAAAAAAAATAGTAAACTTAAAATTGAACAAAATGAAAATGTACAAAAAATTAACAAATAAAAAATTAAATTAAATTAAAAAAGAAACAATGAAAATATCTAACTGAAAAATAAAAAAAATAACAGAAAAATGTTGAGAAAAAAATTATAATAAATAATTTGAAAAATTCAATGTATTGATTGTGTATACATGAAATAGTATATATATACATAACACACATAAATTTACTAAACTATACTATATAACAATAATATACACTAAATCTAAATTACTAATACTGAATCCTGGCATATAAGGAAACAAAACTCAATTATAGATGTAGTTACATAGTAATATGTATTTATTATCATGTGCTTTCTTTAATAAATTAATTTTATTTGATATTTTGACTGATTTGTCTTTAACATATGCACACATAGAGTGTATGTGGTTGTCGAGGGTTACAGCCACTGACATGTAACCGTGTGTATTTTATGGGTCGTTAAGATGATAAAAGATTGGACAATAAATAAAAATACAGGTAAAAATATCATGAAGTACAACACTAAAAACAAACAAAAATAAATTATGATAAAACATTCAAATGCAAAAAATAAAAATAAAAATAAATCTAGTGAAATAAATAAAAATTAGAATAAATATAAATGATAAACTTATAAAACGTGTTGTTTCCCAGACCCCTACCTGATCTCCAGGTCGGTGTTTTTTAGGCTGTTTAACGTGTTCATGCGTGTCGTGTTGTCTTCCTGCTGCAGATCCGTGCTCCAGCTCTCCAGGTCTGGGCTCCACTCTGTGGCTGCTGCTGCTCAACCTGCTTCCCCTCGTGGCCGGACTGCTGCTCTGCCACTGCAGCTGATGACACACCAACCAGGTAGCTCGACTCTCCTCCGCCGGCGCCGTCGCCCTCTGAGGACTCGGACCGCACGCTTTTCCACTTTTTTCTGTTTGCTGAAGAGCCTCTTGTTTTTAACTTCCTCCTTCCTTCATTCCTAGACTCTGCTTTGACCTTCATTCCATTCAGTCCGTTCTCTCTTTTCCTTCTGCTGAAGCTCCGTCGGTGTGTTTACATGCACTTAAGTATCAGGTTACATCCGTTTTGAACCAGAAACCCTCCTGAGTCAGGTACACGTCAGCGTGGTGAGCAGCTATTGGCATGTGAAGCATCAGAAGAAGAACAAATCTGATCAAAAAGGGACCATCTTTGTTATTGCAGAACACTGGCACATGAAAAATTAAGCATTTTTCCAAATTTGTGCGAATTACCGACTACATCATGTACACTGGGGATGAGATCCTGACATGAGCACTAATATTATGATTAATTAGTGCAATAGGCAACTGAAACGGTTGCTCAATTAGCTGATTATCAACCAATAAACTCATCTTGATTTCAGATTATTTGTTGTTTTTGAAAGCAAATCGAGTGAAGAAAAAAAAAGCCCAAAATTTGTAGATTTGAGCCTCACTTTAGCGTCACTAAAACTTAATTTCATCCAAATGTTTTGGCAACTTCTTGGCCAAACAATTAATCCATGAATTAAAAAAGTAATTTAAAAAAAATCATAATGGGGGAAAAAAAAGAAAAATTGTTAGTTGTTGTTTTAATCATCGATTCACCTGCTTTTCATTCCACCGTCCAGTCTGACCATGTGGAACAAATACATATTAATGATAAACTTTACTTATATCGTGCTTTTTATTATTATTTTTAAATAATATGCTTACCATAAAATAAAAGCAGATCAGGTCAATAAGGCCAAACGGACACGGGAACAGAGAAAGTAGAGCGACTGAAATAAAATAAGATCAGACAAATAGGAATTAAAGAAAACAAAGTGACCATAAAAACCTAAATCAGCCAGAACATAGAGGTTCAGTGTGATGATTTATAGCCGTGTTTTTACGAAAACAAAACCCTGAATTTCTAGTTGTAGGTGTAGGTAGGAACTGAAAGTTTCTCAGGGAAATAAGTCGACTCGTCTACATGTTGCTTTACTGTTTAACTACTATTTGTCCGAGAAATTTTAACTCTGGGTTTGACATCCGTCATCGTTTTTTCGTAGCAACCGGTTGTAAAACGTGTTTCTATCATTTATTTTCAGGAACATTTTTTAGATTTTGAGAAAAGAAACCGTTAATGTAAGAGACAAACGTTTTAAATTATTAAAAAAAAAGTCCCCAATTTGTGCTAAAACTAAGTTTATGCACTCAATGTTTTAAAAAAAAACAGTTAATAAGCTTCAAACCTGACGTCGCAGACATTTAGCTCAAACAGCTGATCGGCTTCAGTCATTTATAAGAATAACGATCATTTAACTGATTCCTGAAAACTTTTATTTACGTCTCCGTCTTCTGCTTACAGCTGCTTTTATTTCCGGCTTCTTTTAGTTTTTCTTATTTTTTTTAGCGACATTTCAAAAGTTCTTCTTCAGATTTGCTTCACTGTTACACAGAAACACGATCAGGTTACTTAAGTGCATGAAAACATCCAACATCTTCTGGAAAATCGTTTGTCTGGTGCAGCAACGACAAATCAGTTCATGTCTTTCTTCCCACAAAGTTTGTTTCGCCCACGATGCAGAACAGTGACGGATTCATTCTTGGGATCATCCTCCTTCTTTTTTTTTTTTTTCTTTCCCGCTGTAGCGACAGAGGAGGGAGGTCTGTCTTTTTACGACGACGGAAACCGACGGTACAAATCCAATCTCTTCGTCCTCAACGGCTGCCTGCAGATCAACCCAAATATGAACCGACATCCGGTCGCTTGGTGGTTTTACGTGCAACCGGACGATTTTAAAGCTACGAATACTTTTTTTTTATTTTAACCCGCACTCACGAGCCGAGAGAACAGTGTTCGTCCTCCGACTGAGTGCGGTTCGGTGAACTGTTTAAAAGTTTTATAAGCTTGAAGGATATTTTACGCAGAGAACTTTTAATGTAAATACAAATGTGAATCTCTCCTGAGGGACGTCTCCCAGCCTCCTCCGGACTTGAGTTTTAATTCATTACCTCGTTTGCTCTGAGTAGATTTGGCGTCACGTTAGCAGAGACATGTTCAGACGCAGGGACGGATGAGTGCAGCTTTGTTTCTGTTCTCTACATTTTCAGTTTTCTTTATAATTAGATGCTGTTCACATTAAGGCAGGTGTCAGAATTGCTCCCCAAACATTCCCCAATATGTAAGAAATCATTCAGCGTAATCAAATCTGGCATATCGGGGTTTTGTTGATGTTCAAAACAAGCAGGAGCTTTAATTTGCCGCAAAGCCATGTCCATAAACTTCAATCAGGGCTGCACAGTTATGGCCAAAACGATAATGCCAGTTGGTTATCATGATTATTCACCATGTCGTTGTGCCACATTCCTGCTAACGTCTGCAATCTTTCCCTGAATTCGGTGCGTCTTTAGGGGCAAAATATAAGTCAAAACATACCCAAATCTCCTCTGCGCTCACCGAAAATGTGGTTATCATCAACACTATAACGTCCTGATGTTCCCTAAACGCCTCACATGCAGGCTACGGTGGAAGCTAGCTGGGCAGCTGTGCACAGAGAAGCCTCTGGTCTCCGCTTAGGCTACGTTCAGACTGCAGGACTTGTGGGGCAACGTCTGTACAGAGAAACGTGTGACTCAGGAGTGCTGGGATAGTGATGGGAGAGGCTGTACTGATGGGTGACCTTTATGTTCATGGGCGAGCGCCTCTTTTTAACACTCTCATAGCAAGACACACATCTTCGGCGGCCCGAATGACGTGTTGGTCAGATCAATGCGACCTGGCCGTTCAGACAGAAGCTGCATGGCAACAGATCAGATACCTATCGGATTTAGGACCACATATACAAGTGGACCGACCGAATGGCTCGTAGCAACAAGCCTGGTACCCCATACTCCCTCAGAGCCATCCGGTCCCTGTACAGTCAAACCAGCTGTGTCTGTATT